CGAACCACACTACCCTCCCGGCACCATATTTTCAACTTCTGTACCTTATCGCGGACCGTGCCTTCAACTCAAAATGCGTCGAACAGGAGTTGAAGGTGAGCAGATGTAAACAGACATCATATCAACTCTCACATGTAGGTGGTAGAGTGTGAGTTTACCAAACAGAGACAGAAAAAGCAGAATTTCGTTTAATGTATCCTTCCTGCCAGCTAAAAAGCAGTTCCTGCGACCCCTCAGGAAACCCCATCGAATGATGGCCCAACTGGAGAAACTATCATAAAGTGTCACTTTCTCGCGCAGAGTGGGTTAAGCCTACGGCATCCATCTCAAGCTGCAGAGGCGTCCGAACACCTATCACCTATTTATGCTCTATGAAAATTACGACATATTTTACTTAATTGCGGCACCTAGTAAGGTGCTCGGGTCAGCTTTTTTCTTCTATTAATGCGGCACCTAGTAAGGTGCTCGGGTCAGCTTTTTTGTTCTGTTAGGCTAGTGCAGTTTCACGTCAAGGCCGACTTAGAAAAGCGCTCAAAATGTTCCAAATCACTCCAGCGATGATAATCTCAGCTTTGCATGACTGGAAGCAGGAAACCATTCGAAAAAGTTGGGAGCCGATTGAATACCGTTCACATTAATAATGAAGTGAATGTTTCTGAAGGCTGCTGCTAGATACGTGATATCGAAATGGCTCAGTAGTGGAGACACAAGTTCCTTAAAATCCATCAAGAGACTGAAGCCTTACGAGCTTTTTGAAACGATATGGCTCAATTTCCATATAATTGCGCTTACGCGCACTTACGTTCACGAGGGCTAAAAGCCCATTCGCTTTAGCATTCAGATAGATTGTGTAAATCACCTAAAGGGATGAAGTGCCGGACAGTAAATGATGCTTACCTCCGCGGGATTGATGCTGCCCTCCCAAAAGGAAATAAAAATTTTCCGCACTATTTACCCTTTACTGCTCCAATCATCCGAAATCTGGCCAGTTTTTGACCGGTTTTTTTTTCATGGAGAGATTTGGCTAAGAATTTGTTCCCTGGGGTAGTTTGTCCTCCTGAACATGAGTATCACATCCACTCGGCACGAAACCTACGAATATCGCATCCGTTCGACACGAAACCTCCTCGCGCCCGCGACAGGCGCCTGCCCCAAAATACTCCGAAGCACCAAATTTGCTGAAAACTTATTCCCGGGATAGCTCGAACCCCTGAACACGGATATCACATCCACTCAGCTCTTAACCTCCTGGCGCCCGCGACACAGGCGCCGGCGCAAAAATACCCAGAAAACATCGAGACCTGTGACACAAGCGCCAGGTTTTAAGCTGATGAGACATTTCTATTCAGGAGGTCAAACTACCTCGCAGACAACATTTGAGCCAAATCTGTCCACGGAGAAAAAAGTCGGTCAAAAACTGGCTCGATTCCGGATGATTGGGGCAGTAAAGGGTTAATCGTGCCGAATTTTCTTTTCTCCCTTAGTTGTGGATTTCCCTTGCCATCCACGCATCCCTTGGACGAAACAGACATAGACAGAAAGAATAGGTCACCATCAATATTATCAACTGGGCGTGCTCTGCGATTAGAAACCCAGGCGAGACTCAAAATAGGAAGAGTAAGGATACTGTATTTCGAGGCGCTGACTAAGTAAGCAATCGAGGAACCTGAGAAGACGCGCTTGACAATGGCTCCTATGAGACCCCCATTTGTTACAAGGTGGTCTCATAGGAGTCATTACTATCAGAAAAGTCAGTGAAAAGGAGGAGTTGATACCGGAGCACAAGAGCTTAGAGACACTGTGGGCGAAACATTACCACAAAGAAATCTGTACGCGTTCCGAAAGGTGACGAATTCGGTTCAATTAAGTGCAAACACGATGCCCTCCATAAAGTCAACAGTAGAAGTGGTTCGCTGTGAACTGTGAATCACCGCACGGTTTTTGCACTGGGTTACTAGCTGACCCAGATATGAGTACCAGCGCCAAAATGTCCAAGATAGTATCAATTCACGACAGCAAATCAAAAGGCTAATGGTTGGTTGCTCTCATGTGCACACATGCAAGGGGTAAAAAGGTGTATCATGGGCTATTTCCCGACCTATTTTAGTCCGGACCTATTTTATCTTCTGTCTAACCAAGTGCTCTGATTTGGAGATGAACTCTTTACTAGCTGAAAAAATGTGTTGCTTTTCAGTACCAGGGGCTGTTTTGCGGGAGGGAGAGGGCGTTTTAGCACATTCAGACTTCCCATCGACGTGTCAACCCATCTAGAGGGCCATTCCGTGAGCTTCAAGAGTTGGCAGGTTCTACCACGGTGGCTAGACGAGA